TGGTTCATGGGGTCACGAAGAGTCGGACACGACTTAACGACTGAACAACAACAACAAATCCTCCTCCAACCTGTCTGTGAATTGTCCTCCCTCTTCTTTTTCAGAGCCTGCCTCAAAAGTTCAGCCTATTATCATCTTTATGCCAATGCATAAATGTCTATGCAGTATATTTTTGTTCATTTCTTCTTACCCAAATTTTCCCTTCTTTCCTCTCCCCTTGTTGTTTTTCACTTAGCAATTAGCTAGAAAGTTCCATGGAAAAGACCCCTGGCTTCCTTTGCGAAGTACTTGGTGGGCAGGTTACTGATTTGGGGTGATAAGATTTTTTTGTTGGCTAATATTAATAAACTAGCCCATAAAACAGAAGTACTAAGCTTCTATAGGATTAATGCAGCTACTGTACATGGCTTCAAAAAGAAAACACCCCCCTTTTAAATAAGTAATTAAAAAAAATTAAAGTAAAAAAGTAAAGTTAGAGCTAAAAAGAGGGGAGTTGAAGGAGTGATAGAGAAGAACGTGGACTTGAATTTTTCAAGAGGAGCAGCAAAAGGAGATGGTGATTTCCTGCTGTTTGAGGTTGAGAAAGGGAAACAAATCTCTTCCAGTTCTCTGTATAAAAGCATGAACTGAATAATGAGATTATTCTTTTAAAAGCTGCTGTAATCGATAGGTTATAGCTCAGGAAAGGCAGGGGGTGGTGGGGGTGGTGTTATCAGGAGAAAAGAAAAGAAAACAGCTGAGAGACCTTTTGGCAGGTGGAAGCCAAGCGTTCAAAGAAAAGGTCTTTCACCACCTGCTTTCCTTATCTGACCTTTGCTAGCTGGCATTCATGGTTTCCCAGTTAGCCTTCAGACATGTCTCCTTGCAGAAGCCAGTTCCGAGAAGGAACTTTTATGTACCACGACCAATCAATGGGTAGTGGCCCATTACTTTTACAGTGCCAATTTTCCCTCCCACTTTTAAAGCAGCAGAAGTTTCTGTCTCACATTTCCCACACCAGATAGGTTAGCTCAGGAGAGTTGGTAAGGGCTTCTGTGCCAACCCCCTTCTCTAACCAACCTTCCAGGCCAGGGCTTGCTCTCATGTTGCGCTGATTAAGAGAAGAGGAAGCTCCCCACAAGCATGGCCTCTGGGCATTTCTTTCTCTTCCTCCGAGGGTGACATATTGCAAAGGGGTCAAGGGGCTTGAAGCAGAGCCAGCGGTACTGTTGAGAAGTGTTTTTGCTAATGACTGCCTCTTGTGGCCCCGTTCAGAGAATGAAACCAACATGTTTCAACATGTTTAGTCACGTGACTTCCACCGGAGGTCTGTTTCCTCACCCCAGCTGAGAGACGGGGGCGGGGGGGGGGAGGAACCCAGCCAAACTCAGGCCCGAAGGCTGCAAATAACAAAGAGCTTTCTCTGTGCCCAGTGCTACTGCAGGTGTGAAAAAGTCCCAACGGTGTGGGTGTGTGGAGATAAGCAAACAGCCCCACAGCCTTCTCTGTGCTCTTTTGCTTGGGCTGCTTGCTTGTGTCTAGATCGTTTTTTTCCCCTGAGCTATGCCAGCAAGCTGTGACTGCTGAAGGTTCCCCCCCCCCCTTTGGTTAATTTGTATATGACTGAAATGACAGCTCAAGGCCTCCTTGTGTATTCTCTCTGAAACACGGAATTGGGGAGCAGAAATTTCTTTCTGATGGGCGTGTGTGTTTACAGAGGAAAGATGGCAGGGTAACTCAATCTCCTCCCTCCAGGCAGGTGCACCAGGGATGGCTCAGGATATGGAGAAGAGGAAACTCCTTGTTGACACAGGTGATGGGTGCTAAGGGGCCAAAACTGATAGCATAATATTAGTGCAGAGAAACTTGTTCTCCAGCTGTCAGAGCTGCTAAGTTCAGCCTTCCAGAGTGAGGCTGTTTTCTTTAGCACTGCAGCCCACAAGATGCTTCTGCAACGTCTTTCTCAGAGGAGGACGTTTGTGTCTCAAAGCTGGTTGCCTTGAGAGCAGGAGGCTGTCCAATGTAACGAGAAGGGAAGTTTTTCACATCCAGTGAGTATACAGTATTACCCCTTGTGGGACGCTTTGCCAGGGCCTACCTTGCCCTAGATCAGTGCTTCCACTGGGCCACTTCCAGATGTATGGACCAACTCCCAGAATTCCCCAGGCAGCATGACCATTATGGAGAATTCTGGGAGATAAAGTCCATGCAGCTGCTAGAAACATCCAACGTTGGGGAACGCTGCTCCAGGTGAATGCACTGCCTGCTTGTGAAGAGCAGAGAACAACTCCATTCTTTGGGGAGCTGATCAGCTGTTTTGGAATGGTCCTGGAACATGAGAAGCTTCCACTCAGCTCTATAACATCTTTGCATTTGATGTTTAGATCCTTGACATTGGGGTGGTGAGGAAGGGTTTATAAATATATTATTATTACTATTATGATAATTATATATATATACGCTGTGTGTGTGTATTCATCATTATAAATATTAGTAGACAGAGACCAGCAGCAACATCAGGAAGAATTAAATTCCCCTCTCACCCCTATGGGTGGTACGTGTCTTCCTCAGTCTCAAGTCCTCTACCAGAGGCCTGGAGTTTGAGGGTTCTGCGCAGTATCTGAGCTGTTCCTAGCCCTGCACTCTTCTGGACAGAGAGCTCTGATGTTGTTCCCGGGATCTGTTGGAGCCACTCTCCCAGCTTAGGAGTCACACCCCTGAGTGCTCCTAACACCACTGGGACCACTTTGGCCTTTACTTTC